GTTTTTGCACACGCTTTTACATTGTGTGACACGGTGTGAAAATACGGCATTACTGCGAACCTGTTACTCGATGTTTCCTCCGCCTTTCCCTTTTCCCGAAACATTAAAGTCATTTGCCTCCCGATGAAATCTCCCTCGTAGCCTGCGTTAATCAATCATTGCCACTGCCCCCTCACTGCCTTAGGCATAAAATGAACACATGACCTGTTCAGAGCATTGGTGATCAGCGATCTAACAACACTCGCCTTTACCGTCTTAGAGTGGCAGCTCTTCCTTGGGAGTACTGGTTTCGGGGCATCCTTTCCATACTCCCAGTATAGGGTTTCGGGCGGCGGAGAAAAGCTCACCGGAGAAAAGCTCACCGGACAAAAAGCTCACCAGAGATAAGCTCACCGGAGAAAAGCTCACCGTAAAACCGGCAGATGCGGAGAAAAGCTCACCGATATTTTTTTAGCTTAACTTGATTCTAAGTAAAACGTGGCAATTTAACACAATTCGCATTCGTCACTTCATTAAAAACATGTCCTCGTTTTTGTAATATTATTGAGGTTCATTGGGCATATTTACTAATTCCTCAGAAATTAGTAATCACCCATTCTGTAAATTAATGAAGGCGCAAGTATAAAATCAGAACATCGTACACGGGTAAAAAAGGCAACAATTTATTGACAGCTGAGGGTGCGCCGTCGGTAGCTCTGTCCGATAAAGAGGTTTGTTTTTTTGCGAGCTAATATGAATAGCGGTGTGTGAATCGCTTGAGGTCCAAATATTGTGTACTGCCTAAGAGATAAGTAGGTGTTTGTTGTTGTAATCAGTGTCCGCTGCGCTGTTTTCTTTCTGTTAATTTCACTAACAGAACTTCAGTTGCGAGAACAGCTTCGTCGTGTCGTGTTTGTTGCCTTCACTCCGTCGTCGTCGTTTGAGCGGTTTTCATCATATATAACGTTTACCAACTCGCCCAATTAGCTACCTACCTTACAAATGACTAGTTATATAGCTCACGAATAACAACGGAGACAGTGTGCACCTCTGAAGGTCATGGGTGGCGCACCGTAGAAGGACACTATCACACAAAGGGAACGTGTGGAAACACCACCACGAACGGTCAGAAAGCGTGCGCATGTCCGTGGAAGAAAGAAGCCTCGATATCCTATTGACTGTTTTATCCTGTTTTGAAAGGTTAACAAAAGCTTCAAAGAGAATTTCAGGCACCGCGGTGTTGCGCGTGCACTTTTGGATTTTCGGCATTTACAGCTTTGATTTCTAGGTTTTAGGCAGTCATCATTACGTTTTTTTTTTTTTACTTTTTCCTGTTCTTCAAGTTCATAAAGTTTTTAGTTGGGCTTTCGTTGCCCAGAGAATAAGCCGCAAAAAACACTGGCCCGCAATTATTAATTTGGGAGCAATATACCCATTAAGCTTAACAAATATTACAAAAGAGGACATTTTATTTTTTACAAAGCTGACGAATTTTAATGATAATAAATTGGTATATGTTACCGCACGATCCAAAGTTCCTCCATATAAAAAGAAGAAAAAATATCGGTGTGCTTTTCTGCGCAGAACGCTCAATGGCCGGTGAGCTTTTCTCCGCATCCGCCGGTTTTGCGGTGAGTTTTTCTCCGGTGAGCTTATCTCCGGTGAGCTTTTCTCCGGTGAGCTTTTCTCCGGTGAGCTTTTCTCAGGGATTTTAGGGTTTCACCCACATGAAGTTTTAGGTCTAAAAACTGTAACATATCATTCGTTGGCCTTTCCACTGTGAACTTGAGTTCAGGAGCTGACGACACTACTAGTGACTCTAGCTTCTCCGCAATTCCACTCTGAAAGGTGCATAACACAATGTCGTCAACATATCTCCTGACTATACAGCTACCCAACGGCATTTTTTCTAGTCCTTCTACCACGGCAGAATCAAGTGAGTTGAGGTATATTTCCGCCAAAGCTGGTGCCACCGATGAACCTATGCACACTTCATCTTTCTGCACAAATTTTTGCCCATCGTATTCAACCACAGTTGATCGAAGATACAAATCTAACACCGTCATGAAGCAATCTACCGAACTGCCGGAACCTGACTAAAATTTTACGAGATTGCGCTCCAGGGCCTCATTTACTCGCTTCATCAGTCTGCTCTTCTTCAACGAATAATAAAGGTCATTAATGTCCATTTTTTGATGTTTTGTTGTGTGTTTACCGTTTGTCAACTCAAAGTGGTTCGTAATTTTTTTTTAAGAACTTTGTGGCTGCGAAGTCAAGGCGTGTCCCATTGGTGCCATTGCTTGAAATGTTTTTTGGTGGCGGTGTTGGGCCAGGATGTATAAAAAGAGGGAGAACTGAATAAAGTGGTTAGCTGTGTTTGAGACGTCGTCGTGTTTCTTCCACCCAGTCTCACGTGGTAAAAAATGGTAAACTTACACCAGCTCGCCTGCGCCCTAACTGTTTTTTCAATAAGAGCTCGGCATTCTGATATCATTGCAACACCTGTGCAAGAGGCACACAAACTTGCGGTCTGCATAGTAAGGAATGTTCCCATTGGTTTTTGTTTGTTCCGTGTAGGCGTTTTACAATCATGTTTCCAACTTTCTAAAAAAATGTGATAGTATAAGGTGATTCACACTATGTAAACTTTGTAACCACAATGGAGATTGTCATCTGTTTCAGCCGGTGATTCGCGTTCCCAGCCTCAGATGCGGCATTTTTTACTGTTACCTGCTCGCCAGTGTCACGATTCTTCTAATGCTGTCAACGGTATTTTCTGGACTTTTATTTCCAAACATTCTCCAGAGTGCCAGGCTCTGGGACACTCCTTGGGAAAAGAATTGGGCAGTCAGGTGTATCTGAGGTGGATGGACAATATTGAGTTGGCACCAGCTTTTTCAAGATGCTAGTTTTCAGCAACTTACCAGCCTGCCTCATGTGCAAGGAGTTTACTTGCCCCTAGCTGGCCTCTTTATCGAAAGAAGAGGAACATCGACACACATGAATTTTATGACTGGCTTTTTTCGCAAGCTAGAGCCGTGAACATGGTTGTTCGTTGGGGCAGAATAGTGGGCATTTGACACCACACAGAGCTTTGCATTATTTTGCCTGGGTTTCCACAATTAACAAAAAAATCGTCAAACATACATAATCCTTTTACAGTAAGTAGTATCCGGTGTACGACTTCAGAGGATTCCTGCGTTATCTATGCACCACAAATTGCTCCCAGTCGGCTCCCACCTGGTTGGTGAAGCATGAGTAGCACTTGCAACAAAGCATCACCAGAAATTCCTGAACTAGATCAATGTTAGTGTGCAATGAAGACAGTTAAACTTCGAGGTATGCATATACAACTTTCGTGCAATTCTTTTAGATTAAATAAGCAGGGAAAAAAGACAATGGACACTCTGCTGCTGTCAATCACATCTTTATTTTCATAAATCCAAGGTTTGAAAGGATTACACTTGTTTGCATATAACTCACCTTACTGTATACTAAATTTTTTACTCTTTGTACTTAAAGAAAATTAAATCAGATGTAAAAATGATTGCCATTTCCTATTAGTTGAAGCAATAATGAAACTTTCAGTGTATTGCACATTCATGCAAGCTCAAGCAAATTACACAGTGCAGGGCAAGCCGTGCTTGCACACAGGCCTGCAAAACTTCAGCGAACATCTGAGCTTCCAAGTTACTTACCACAGGAGGGACGTCTGAAAACAAAATAATCACTGTTGCCCATTTTTAGATTTACATGTTATAAAAAGCCCCTCCATAGAACACCAAGGTCATACATACCACATATTTGGCAACTATCATAATAAAACTATTTTACAGCACCCTTACGCAAAATATATTAACTACTAAATTGTACAGACAAGTTTTCTTTTATGAAACAAACAGGAACAGACAGATGGGCTGCATACTTTCTTGCTTTCACATCGAGGGGCTGAAATTGTATGTTGCAAAATTTTTGGAGACACTAGGAAGTTCTGTTTATTGTGTAACAAGGTTGAAACCAAAAAGTACAGATGCGACCTCCATGAAATGCTAAGAAAAGTGCGATATCTACAGAAGGAAAGTAGATGAGGACTGATTGCACAATAGAGTGATAGTCATATTGCCATCAACACCGTAGGCATATGCACTTCCTTCGAGTGTTTTATTTTGCATATTGAAGTATTGAACATCTAACATCTCATGTACAATGTCGGTTCTCTTGTTTCATTCATGTTTGATGGGGTTAAATTAAAACAAGAAGATTGAAGCCTTAAACGATTTTCCCGAGAATGTGTCATCTGCGGAAGGAGGTTCGAATTATGGGCTTCTATACCAAGAAACGAAATGTACTTAATTTAAAAGGGGCATGTCATCTGAAAAAAGGGAATGAAAGGCTGGGTTAACAACTAACCTCACAAGATGCAGACGCTGTACCTAACCGACAGACCAGTGTACAACGGTCAGATAACAACTTCAATCTGATGACTGACACACAGCAGTACAAATAGCTCACCTGACGAACCAAGCCCAACGATCATCAGTCGTAAGAATAATTCCACTATAGCAGCGGTAGTCAGCATTCCCCCATTAGAATGATGGAATAAAAAAGGCTTGGGGTCGGATAGTTAAAACAAGACTGTTTAAAAGTTGGTGCTTTCAAAAAGAATGCACAAAACCCAATGCATACTGCCGCTTGACAACAAAAACGAAAGCTATCATCTGCCTCATTGGAAACAACAACCATCAACCTACTGATCAGATCGAAATGCTAGTAGGGGCTGATAACTGGACAGACACAGAGGCTGGAAGGAAGGCTGAGAGCTGTCCAAATGATCCTTGGAGGGAAATCGAGACGACCACTCAAGATCTTCTCACGTTGTAATTCTAAAGGCTACAGTGATTGAGCCTAAAACAGATGTTCTCAAGAAATGAAATAAATAAATAAAAACGTGCCGGACACAAGAAGTTATTGGTCATGTACTTAGCAAAATGATATGCAAAATGATGGAGCAATCAAGTTTTCTAAGGACACTGCCAAAGAAGTGAAGAGACGACATCCAGATGGTGCTCACGAATTTCCTCGTGGAAGCTGCACACTCGTACCAGCTTGGTCGCTAGGGGCCTCTTGTGTACAGGTAGCTTACGCAGCACACGGTAGATCTTTATGCGTTGGATCGCACACTCCACATGGACTCTGCATCCAGCAATCTTTTTGCAATAAGACACCTCGTCATTAATGAACTGGCGACGGCCACGCAAGAATGGAGGAATGTTAAGCGATACCCTCCCTGGCATCAGGTCAAATATCGCGAACCCTTTGTCCGCCAAGATCAAATCTTCTGGTGTGCATTGGGCAAGTATGGCGCTGTCCTTCACCACCTCCCTGTCACTGGTAGAGCCGAGGTAACATTCGCTCGTGAAAATTATGGCTCCGTTGAGGGCGACTGCAACTAGAGACTTTACAGTGTTTCTAGATTTGTAATTTGAGAATGTTACACTTTGGGTGACTATGCTCCCTCTTGGCACCTCTATTTCTAGCTCTGAGCAGTCTATGCTGGCTCGGCAGTTCGGGAAATCCTTGAATGAAGCTGGCATATCTGTTCCCAAGTAACGTGTCGTAGGAAATTTAGGCACCATTATGCCCTCGTATAAGATCTCGTAAAGGACGTGCAGAAACGTCATGAAGACGTTTTGCACTGTCGTGTGGCTGACTCCGAAGCGGACAGCTAGGTCATCATCGAGGACAGCGAGCTTCAACCTTGTCAGGCAAAGCAAAAGCTGGTCGGCTTGTGACAGCCTGAAAACGTTAGTGCCGCTGTAATAAGATAAATCAAAGCGATCTATTAGGTTTAGGAGTGCAGTAAAACTCGACTGCGGTATGCCCGTGTACACCTGCAGCATCTTGCCATTAAGGTTTTCAACGGAAAACACTCGCAGCTTAAGTGCTTTGACTTCAGCAGTAAGTTTCAGTATTTCTGATGCCATGCCACCTGCAGAAAAAAAAGATGTAACAACATAAATAGGGAGTAAGCCTGCATTCTGGATTTTGTGTGGCCATACAGATCCAATTTACTCCAAAAAATAATTTGACCCGTATGAACTAGGCGACTCGTAAAATATAAAAAAATCATACTATATGGCCCAATGTTAAGCTTCAAAGAAATGAAAGGGAAGAAAATTAGTATGAGTATTTACTTTAAGGTATCTCTACTAATTCTAGCTAAATTTTGCTAATTACTAGTTCTGGCTGCGTCACCGTCCAAACTTCTGGAACGGTAATTTTCTTGGAGTATGTGCTCGTCATCTTGTATGACTAGCATATGCCATAGTCATGATATCAACAATGTCATGACTGGAGATACTTTGCCAAATGATAGAGGTGGTGGCTATTGTAATAAGAAAGAGGCAGTCTTCTACTCCTGGCAAGATCACACAACTATCATGTAAACCACATGTGCCTCCATGTCATGATGCTTGGCTGGTTTGCTCGCACCAAGCTTCACAGCTTTGCACCAGTCTATGACGGCAGAGCATCCCATTCGGTTTAAGGGGCCTGGAAATTTTACAGGTCGATAGCTACTTTTAAATTACACAGCAGAAATATAAGGTCGATAGTACTTTTAAATTACAGTGCAGATGTATATAGCAGCTGTTGTAATAAGAAAGAGGCAGTCTTCTACTCCTGGTAAGATCACACAACTATCATATAAACCACATGTGCCCCCATCCCACGATGCTTGGCTGCGATCACATCAAGCTTCCCTGCATTGCACCAGCGCACCACGGCAGAGCATCCCAGCTGGCTTGAGGGGCTTGGAAATTTTGCAGGACGATAGCTACTTTTAAATGACAGTGCAAAAATATAAGGTCCACCTATATTTGAGTAAACATGATAGGTCAAAATTACCTAGGTGAAGGAGAAAACGGAGTAGAGGGTGTTGCAACACAACATACCTCCTGCAATATGCCTGTTAGGGAAATCTTGAGGGTATTGTTGTACAACCATTGCTGCACACCTCAAATACATACATATCTTGTAGTGCATTGCTCAAATGAGCACAGACATAGCAGTGGCCAAATGCCCTAATTGCATTTGTTTATAAACATTAAAAAAACATCATGAGAGCCACTTTCTAAGCTGTCAATAGTACCTACAGGAATGTAATCCTCTTTAGCAATGACGCCTTCATTAGATGCGGAACACACTGGCTTGCAGCTAGATGCTGCTGTCTCGATGCCTGAGTGGAAGGGGCAATTATTTGTTCATCACAATAGAATTACCATTCAACAAATGAGAAGCTACACAACTGTAGTCGACGACAGGCTAAGAGTGTACGGCAAGCTCCTCCTGCAAAGCCCTTCACTCTTTTCACTTAGCAGAGCAAAGGATGGAGAGGAGATGAGGAAGGACTCACCTTCTTTCCAGCATTCGCTCTGCTAAAGTGGAAAAAAGGAAGGCTTTGTGGGAAGAGCTGTCCTGCACTCTTAACGTGTCACCAGGTATAGCAGCACATGGGAGGAAGTAGAAGGCAGTTTCTAGTTTATCTCAACACAGCAACACTAGGGCTCTTATACATCCCAAGTTTTTTTAACAGATCAGCTTGATAAACATATGTGACAAACTCCTGTATATTGCTTTAAGTGTAAACGTTCCTTCCTCATGCAGTCCTTGACATATGCTTGCATATTTGTCATAGGAAAGAGAGGCACCTTTTGGTTTGCTTTCTTCCTCATCTAGGTCTTGTTGGTTGCAGAAGCAATATAGGCACATTCCAAGTGGGTCACACTGGCATGCTGGGCAACCGGCATCAGGATCACCGATAGGGGCAGCTTTTTTGCAGTTGATAAATTGCAAACACTGTTAGCAAATATTAAGAACAGCCATGCTTCAAAATATTACGTGGTTTGTCATACCCGCAACTGCAGTCTCTGCATCGCCCTCTAGGAAACAGTTCAGACATGTTCCCAGTGTGTCTAAATCACACTCACTGCAGCCACTTTGCTCGGCAGTCGGTTCCTCTAAAGGAATAGTATAAAAGGAGCAATTCATATGAACCGGAGGTGCTGCAAAGGTAAACTGTCAACAACTTCGGCCTGACAATGTCTCTCAAGTACTACCTGAATGAGCCCCGTCCATTCCTGTTTCAGTCAAGAAGCTGCAGGAGTCGCTGTCACTCATTAATGCCTCTGTAAGGCCAAAAACTGGTCCCTGCACCACTGGTACATCTAAGTAAAAGTCAATGAAGCAAGAAAAAGTCGTCAGCAAGTTGTCCGAACCACTGTTAACTAATGACCGCAATAGGACACATTCTCAAGAACCTGAGTAGGCACTGCCTGTTGCTGTGGTAGCTACGGAGCTGCAGGTACCGCAGCCGTTTGCTAATCCCTGTCTACTGTCATGCGGGGCTCCATAGATTACAGCGATATCTAGATAAAGGTTGACAAAGCAAGAAACAACTGATGCCAAGTAGGTTAAAAAGGTGGACCAGTGATGGCTGCAGCCCAACATATAGTACGATACCTGATTGGGAGCTGCCTTTTGCTGTGTCACTTAAGAGGATGTACAAGCTACTCGAACTGCCAAGTGTGGGTGGCAGACTCAAGACGGGCCCCAAAGCCATAGCGTCATCTAGATAAAGGCGGACGAGAACAAGGGTCGTCAAAGGAGCATAGTTGATGGCTGCTACCTGACGTGCCCTATAAAGTACCCGAAAAGGCAATGGGCGTAGCAGTGTCGCCGCCGCTTGCTGTGGCCTGTGCGTGGTCGAGCTCGTGGGCCACTGGTGCACTTAGATAGAGGTTGATGGCGAACAGATAAGGAAAGTGAATAACTGCAGCTTGGCACCCCGCACATTACCTGAGCTGTCAACTGTGAAGCCGTACAAGCTACTCGCACTGCCAAGTGCGAATGGTAGGCTCAAGACGGGCCGCAAAGCCATAGCGTCGTCTAAATAAAGGCGGAGGAGAAGAGCAAGGGTCGTCAAAAGAGAGATTATAAAGGACATAGTTGATGGCTGCTACCTGACGTGCCCTATAAAGTACCCGAAGAGGCAATGGTCGTAGCAGTGTCGCTGCCGCTCGCTGTAGCCTGTGCGTGGTCGAGCTGGTGGGCCACTGGTGCACCTAGATAGAGGTTGATGGCAAACAGATAAGGAAAGTGAATAGCTGCAACTTGGCATCCTGCACATTACCTGAGCTGTCAACTGTGAAGCCGTACAAGCTACTCGCACTGCCAAGTGCGAATGGTAGGCTCAAGACGGGCCGCAAAGCCATAGCGTCGTCTAAATAAAGGCGGAGGAGAAGAGCAAGGGTCGTCAAAAGAGAGATTATAAAGGACATAGTTGATGGCTGCTACCTGACGTGCCCTATAAAGTACCCGAAGAGGCAATGGTCGTAGCAGTGTCGCTGCCGCTCGCTGTAGCCTGTGCGTGGTCGAGCTGGTGGGCCACTGGTGCACCTAGATAGAGGTTGATGGCAAACAGATAAGGAAAGTGAATAGCTGCAACTTGGCATCCCGCACATTACCTGAGCTGTCAACTGTGAAGCCGTACAAGCTACTCGCACTGCCAAGTGCAGGTGGTAGGCTGAAGACGGGCCCCAGGGCCATAGCGTCGTTTAAATAAAGGCGGACGAGAAGAGCAAGGGTAGTCAAAAGAGATTATAAAGGACATAGTTGATGGCTGCTACCTGACGTGCCCTATAAAGTACCTGAAGAGGCAGTGGTCATAGCAGTGTCGCTGCCGCTTGCTGTAGCCTGTGCGTGGTCGAGCTCGTGGGCCACTGGTGCACCTAGATAGAGGTTGGTGGCAAACAGATAAGGAAAGTCAATAACTGCAGCTTGGCACCCCGCACATTACCTGAGCTGTCAACTGTGAAGCCGTACAAGCTACTCGCACTGCCAAGTGCGAACGGTAGGCTCAAGACGGGCCCCAGGGCCATAGCGTCGTCTAAATAAAGGCGGACGAGAAGAGCAGGGGTCGTCAAAAGTGAGATTATAAAGGACATAGTTGATGGCTGCTACCTGACGTGCCCTATAAAGTACCTGAAGAGGCAATGGTCGTAGCAGTGTCGCTGCCGCTTGCTGTAGCCTGTGCGTGGTCGAGCTCGTGGGCCACTGGTGCACTTAGATAGAGGTTGATGGCAAACAGACAAGGAAAGTCAATAACTGCAGCTTGGCACCCCGCACATTACCTGAGTTGTCAACTGTGAAGCCGTACAAGCTACTCGCACTGCCAAGTGCGAATGGTAGGCTCAAGACGGGCCCCAGGGCCATAGCGTCGTCTAAATAAAGGCGGACGATAAGAGCAAGGGTCGTCAAAAGAGAGATTATAAAGGACAGAGTTGATGGCTGCTACCTGACGTGCCCTATAAAGTACCTGAAGAGGCAGTGGTCATATCAGTGTCGCTGCCGCTTGCTGTAGCCTGTGCGTGGTCGAGCTCGTGGGCCACTGGTGCACCTAGATAGAGGCACCTAGATAGAGGTCGGTGGCAAACATATAAGGAAAGTGAATAACTGCAGCTTGGCACCCCGCACATTACCTGAGCTGTCAACTGTGAAGCCGTACAAGCTACTCGCACTGCCAAGTGCAGGTGGTAGGCTCAACAAGGGCCCCAGGGCCATAGCGTCGTCTAAATAAAAACGGACTGGAAGAGCAAGCGTAGTCAAAAGAGATTATAAAGGACATAGTTGATGGCTGCTACCTGACGTGCCCTATAAAGTACCTGAACAGGCAGTGGTCATAGCAGTGTCGCTGCCGCTTGCTGTAGCCTGTGCGTGGTCGAGCTCGTGGGCCACTGATGCACCTAGATAGAGGTTGATGGCAAACAGATAAGGAAAGTGAATAACTGCAGCTTGTCACCCCGCACATTACCTGAGCTGTCAACTGTGAAGCCGTACAAGCTACTCGCACTGCCAAGTGCGAATGGTTGGCTCAAGACGGGCCCCAGAGCCATAGCGTCGTCTAAATAAAGGCGGACAAGAAGAG